GGTACAGATGAAATTGTAGTTGAAGGCTTTTGTTCTATATTATAACTGCTACCCAAAACCCTTTTTTTCTGAAAACTGAGCCAATCTCTCCATCTGTTAAGCGAACTCATGCAAGGTTAACATGAAACATAATGCAAAATGTGAGACAATTGCATTTGTTTCAATCTGGTGTTGCACAGAAGCCTAAGTTGATGCAGGGAACAGGTTGGAAATAGGGACGCAGACATAGCTTCGCCTCATTTGGGAGACTTGGGCTAACTAATGTATGGTGTTATTATTTGTAACTGATAGTCATCTGAAAATGAAAAGTGAAACTTTGAGCTGGGTGTTTTGGCCACAGGGGCTGATTGGAAATGAGAGTGCTCACTAAACCATGTTGATATTGATGAGGGCTGGTGAAACAGTCTGTGAGGACCACAACCAAGTCTGACATCAGTTGAAAGGCGTCAGTAATCTGATTGACTTATGCTAATGTTTGGTTGAATGGTTGATGTTTGATGGTCCTTGCCCAACAGCGGTTTATGTTTGACTCTATCAATAGTAGGTCTTTATTAGTTAGAAGAGTTAGTCTGAAGAAAGTATTGATAGCTCTTTTGAAAGTTTTTCCAACTAATTATTCAAGGTCATTTTATTTATGATCCTAAAGACTCATATTTGTTTCGATTAATAGCATGAAGAAAATAAATCATAGCTTCAAAATTTCATTGCTTTGTTCCTTCTTAACAAAGTTTTTTCATGCACTGAAGTAATATCTAAATGCAACAGATATGAATCCAATTTCTGAATACGGAGGAAAGAATTGTGATAATATAGAGCGGCAGATTGTTGCCCATGATCCAATATCATTTGCCCTCTGACTGGGTTTGCCAGCGTGGTTAAAACAATTAGCTGATTAGCTCTGTCCAGTGGAATTGGCCAGCTGCTGGTGGCCATGAACGTCACTTCTGGGGCCAAATTTCACATCCCTCCAAATGATCTGCCGGGACCTCATGTCTGCAAAAGTGATAGAATTGAGGACACATGAGTCAAGTTTGCCTCTAATCCTGTCGTCTTAGTCACATGACTCATGTTCAAATTTAATTACACTATCCATCAAAATCATAATTACATTCTGTGCCTGAAGATTGCACCGATCTTGGATCCAAGAGAGAAAGATGCAGTGAAATAGCATGGTTCTTTGGAAACAATGCTGCCTTTCTTAAGTGATATTATCCATCATATTTGTCCTGGTTGGCGGTGGAAGATGTTTCCTGTAAATAAGCCATGATGTCAGAGAGACAACTACGTGGTGATCTCCATTCCGGCACTGTTGGCAACCAGTCGTGACAGTCTCGGTGTAAGCCTTGTTAAAACCTGCCTGATCAGCTGGTCGTCCCGACATTGATTGCACTGAAATATGGGACTGTCCTTTAGGCACAAAACTGATGGACAGCTTGCTGAGTGAAATTGACACTATTTTCAGGATTTGTTTCATTTAATTGGCACCACGTCCCATTATTGAATGTTTTATAGTTATTTTTTTATAAAATCTGAAGTTTTTATCATTAGTTCAAACGGATTTTATGTGAAATGCATCCTAATGTCTCTCTTAAAGTATTTTTATACCCACGGAAAGGAAGCAAAGTGAGGGTGTAGAACTATGGTGAGCGAGTGAGTTGGATTTTACACCACTTTTAGCAATATTCCAGCAATGTCGTTGGGGACATGAGAAATGGGCTTCACACATCATACCCATTTGGGGAATCGAACATGGGTCTTCAGCGTGACAAGCGAACACTTTAACCACTTCACTACTCCACAGCCCGAGAGTTAAACTAAGGACATGATCTATGCATGTTGTATTGTCTAAAACTTTGACAACATGGTCTCTCCGTCCCACCTTTCCTTTGCATCAAGTCAGTGTAGTCTTTGTTATGAATAGATTAGAAGAATATACCAGTTATTCTCCTCGTCCACACAAATTGCTCATTTAGCCAACATTTAATGATCAGTCTTCGATATTTGTACCACTTTACCCTTTCACTACTCCACCCTGTCCACGAAGAACATATTAGGGGCAAGAATTTCATCGTCTGACAGTAGCTATTTCTCAGCTAGGTGACTCAGGGGACGTCACAAATTAGTCTGTCAAGCACTTTGCTGCACTTTGCATTTAGATTGGCCACAGTTGGAGAAGGCTGACATTACTGGTCGCCTTTTTTCTGCGCCTGTCGAGCGCCAGCCATTTTCCGTGATTAATTCTGGCGTAATCGGCATGCAAGGGACCATCACGTGATCGGCAGAATCTGCCAGTATCAGAATTGAAATTAAATGTGTTTTCATTGGAAAATAATGTTGTTAGCTCAAATTTTCTTCCCCATTCAATTGGACCTGAGGTCTCAGCTCTGCACATCCAGCTAGTAAATAACAGACTGCTTCCAAAAATGAAGGATCTTTTTAAACTGTTAAAATGAACTGCTCACAGATATTTTCACATTAACAAAATTTAAAAACGCCTAAAGGGCATATTGCTTTTATGTGCAGGTTTTCTTATGACATAATTAGATTAATATAGCATTTAATAATTAACATTTTCTTCCCTACTGTATCAATAAATTATCTGAATCACCCAGTTTTGGAAAAAAATTCCTCATCACAAAAAAACACTTGGAGCTGTTTATGTCTGTTTGTAAGATTGTATGCTTTTGATGTCTCCCAGCATGTTCAAACCATGTGGCAAAAGGCTTACAAGCTGAAAAAAAAGAAAACAATGTTTAGAACCTCTTCAAATCAATATCATGTAATTTTGTTTCTGTTCAATTCACATTGTATCGTTTACCAACTCAACATCAGGAATGAAACTGAGCCAGTCTGCCATGTCATAAATCAAGCTTGTTTGAAAGGACGGCCATTAGCACCAGCTGCTGTCATTGTTGTGGTCAATATTTCAATGATTAGGTTCTCACCACATATTGATCAATTAAAGAAATACATTAACAATCTGATCATTATTATTTAAAAAATATCTTCATGTAATTTAGTAAAACACAATCAGTTTTTTATAAGAAGTGATAGAACAACTTTGTGGAATTGAGAAGATTCATTACACACAACATAATGTTCAGTAAACAGTCCAAGTGTTTTTCTTTGTATAGAAATGGGTTTAAACACGGTGACTCCTGTTTCGGTCGATATTTCATGATTGGAACTTTGGTGGTTCTGTGACCTGCAAACAAGGTTTGCCTGATCTTGGCTGAATTTTCAACATTATTATGAAAAATCTGTAACTTGACTCAACAAAGGCACAAGTTTTCACTTAGTTTAAGACACACTCTTTAACAGCATTGAACAAAGCTGTCTTTCCTTGTACGATGGATGAGGATAGATTACACGTTTTTGTTTGTGGAGCATGTTTAACAAGAATTGGCTTTAGCCAGCTCTGATCAAACTGTAAACCTACACCCTTGAACCCTCTAATCCATATTGAAGGGAATCTTGTCGGAGAAAATAACATAGCAGATAAAATGGCTGTGCCAGCTCATCCTCTTACAGATTTCAATCTGTCCGTCGGTGATTTCAGTCCCCCCATCACTTATTTCATTACACCACCAATCAACAGCGTCAATTTCGTGGCTTAATGAGGTGCAAGCTGCTTCCTTGAAATGAACAAACATTGACACATCGTCCACCCAGTCTGAAAAATACCTTTGTTCAGGATTTATCAAGACCTGCTACATAGATAGAAACAAGTATTTTTAAGAAAAGCTTGTATTTTGCAATGGAAAACTTATTGTTTCTGTATATTCACAACAATTGAAAATCTTTGATATGAACTTGAGTGGGGGTGTTGGGGTTGCCTAGTGGTTTTATGCCTTCACCTCCAGCCAAAGACACAGGTTCGATTCCCCACATGAGTACAATGTGTGAAGCCCATTTCTGGTGTCCCCCACCGTGATTTTGCTGGAATATTGCTAAAAACGGTGTAAAACCAAATTCAGTTAGTCAGTCTGTGATGTGAACTCTGTTTTAAGTTTGTTTTTTTCCTTGGAATTTTAGAGTAATATGAATATGAAGATAAAGATATTTCGGTGACTTGCACAAGTTTCAGAAGGATCTTTGTCAAGGTTGTGTTAAAACAGCGTAGTTATTTGGCATCACTGTTGATACAATTCTTCAGTGGTGTGTTATCTTTTCTCTCAGACTACATACTTACTGCAGGTACACGGTGATGGGAACAAACTAGGATTCAGAACCAGGTGCCCACTGACCACTTGACCAGTGTGGAACTATGTGTATATGTACTTAACTGCCTATGAATACTTTGGCTGGCTGCTAACAAGGATTAGTAGAGCTGTCAAAATACACACACTCATATGATGATTTGTTTATTGTTCATTTTGGCAGGTTGTGTCTGTTATAGAATTTAGTGAATAACTGGTTTGAAATCCTTAGTGGCATCATAGGTGGATCCAGAGAGGGGGTGCAGGGGTGCGTGCCCCCCCTTTTGTCCTGAAAGTTTATTAAATGACCATTGAAACTCTCGTGAAAATGAAGTGTGCACCCCTCCTTTCTCGATACTGTGCACCCCCCTTTCTCAAAAAGCTGTATCTGCCCCTGGGCATTGCAATGTGTGTTTGTCAGTTCTGTTTTAGAAGGTACCGTTAAGTTAACCAGGACCTCCTTTCACCAAGCACTAAGGTGATCGTAAGTCACTAAGGTAACCTTAGTGCAATGTTAAAGAATGGGAGTTAAGGTTAACCTTAGTAAAGGTTGCTTCGTGAAAGGAGCCCTAGGTCTGGATGATAAATATACTGTTACAACAATGTTGAACAGAACACTCTGAAACATGCAAGTGAATTCTCTGTTACTACTGTGAAGTACATGTACTTACCTTTACCAATACAAACACACTCGTTACACACAAGCACAAATGACATGTTACACTGTATAATGATACAGGTAGGTGTTATATTGGTGTTTTTCATATTGGCTCTGTGTTAATTGTGATGATTTTGTTTCAGAACAAATCAGAACCTGCTTTCGATGGAGACAAATATCGGCGCAATGACCGTGAAGGGCAGCGAAGCAGCGCCAAGCCTCCCCATGCACAACAGCACATTCACAGAACAGCTTCCAACTCATCAGCTCCTGGTGCTCTTGGTAAGGATGGAGAAAACTGATGTGGTTCAATCACTCAGTAGATTCATAGATGCACATTGACTGAGATGTAATAAATCCTAAACAATCTGTAAGAAAGGATTATGGTTTGTTTTGTTTTATCAAAGCACATGTAGTTCCACTTGTCAGATGGGTACACAAGTACGTGTTCTAGAATACCAGTTGTCAGGCTTACATTTGCATGCACGCCAAGCTGGCTGAGTGGGTTAGATTGCTGGCTTTCTGTGATGGTGACTAAATGCCAGGCTAGCTATTCTCGAAACCTTCGTAGCCCTATGAACTTCTTAAGCCCATTCTTAACACATTGGCTACGATCAAAGTTAAGAATTTTTAGGGCTACGAACATTTCGAGAATGAGGGCCCTGATTCTGCGAGTTTGGGTTCAAATCCCAGATAAGACTAAAAAAAAAAAAACATTTTTAAAGGAAGTAGTAGAATCTGTACTTTAGTCAGAAAGTGTGATCCTAAGCATAACATGTGTTACACATATAGTTAGGATGGAGCAGATATGATCCTAGAATGATCTGAGTTATGGGAAAGTATATCGTGTGCAATACAGACTTGGTATTTGTCTTCTTCAGGGATGCAGTCACCACGTCACAGCCAGAATGTTTTACCAGATCTCCTTCCTCCACGCACACCCCCACAGCCGAGGTCACCTCCCACCCCGCAGCGACCCCAGGACAAATCTACATCCGATGAGGTATTGAGTTAACAACTTGAGATTATGCATGACTTTCTTTGGGATTGTATGGTGTTGGGGCTTTCGATAATGTCAACAAAAGGGAGACAACTGTGTAATACTAAGCCTTTAATACAAATGCTATCTGTTACATTGATAAACATGAAAAGTATTTAGTTAATTTCAGTAATTGTTGGTAAAGTTATAATGTATGTAGACTTGTTCATGATTTAAAACATTTAGGATGTAGATATTGAAGGATCTCATGTCTATAAACGGTATTATTCAAGGCGTTTAATTGTTCAAGAAGTACTACTGCTTTAGCCATACATCACTGTACCACTATATTTTCAGTTCACTAACTTTTTTTTTTCGAACCAAATTAATGTATGTTCTTCAAAGGTGAGATGATATCTTTCCACATAAACTTTCCATCCATGTATGTCCTATCATCCTCATCACTTGTTTCAAACATACTTGCATCTTTGTGTTCTAATTCTTCATGTCAATATCATACTAAACTGCCGTTAAGTAGGCATTTGAGTAGGAACATTTCCAAAGACTGTCTTGTCTAGATGGGACCCGTATTAAAATTCCTGTACGCAGTACAAATGTTAACAGGACACCAACCCGAACACTGCTTCCCACTCCAAATAATGGCTATAAGAACCACGGCATCTAACATGGCCAATCTGTAATCATAGCATGTTTAGAGCTGTCAGCTGACGTTTGAATACAGCATGCAATGGTGTTTAAATGTTTGTCACCAGATCATCATTAAAATTAACTGCCCAGCAATATCATTTTAAGGTTTTGTTTTAAATATATTTTAGTTCAAAATTATTTTTTGCATCAGTAGTAGTTTAGATTTGTACTGATATAATTATTCATCTTGATATTTCTGTAGTTGTAGGTAGTTTCAAGATAAGCATTTGGGAATGATACGTCAGTTTAGATGTTTATTTAAAGATTTGATTATTTACATGTAGCTTTTGTATGTGAACATCTGTATCTAATACTTCAAACATGTTAACTTGGCAAACCTGTATATCTATTGGTGCAAAACTTGTCAATATCTTATTGTATTCGTCATACTTATTCATATAATTGACACAGAGGTTTGTAAACTTTTACGTTAAGGATTCCAAATTAATTGACAAGTTTTGTAGTGCTTGCCTCATCCTGTATACCGCTGTCATCTTGGCTCCATCATAATCAAAATGGTTCTAGATTTTTATAGTACACTGTATCAGGCGCTGCCACATCCAGATTTAAAACGAAAAACCAAAACACCATAGACAACAAAATTTATGCATATTTATAACACATTTGATTATCCAATTCCAAATGTAAGGACGTACATCGTTAAGGTTAACATGCAATAACATGGATATTATCACACAGAGGTTGGGTAAATTCTGACAGTAGAACGGAGGCTTAGATTCATATTCGGAACCAGAATCCTTTTCACTCATGCTGAAATAACTATCTTTTTCGGTGAACTTTGTCTCTTTTGGTGTTTGTGAGGGAATCTGTTGTCTTGCCGGTGATGGTTATGCCCCTGTATACAAGTGACTATATTTTTCTAGTATCGGCAGGCGGTGAGTAAACAGGCCGGTGGCATGAAACACCAGCGCTCCTTCTCCGCCTTCGGGTTTGGAGCGGGTGGCTCAACTGTCGGTTCTGTCTCCTCACAGCAGAGTCGAAGAGGGTCGCAGATCAACGTCAACGTCACGCCGTCACAGACCACAGAGGCCACAGGGGACACCCCGGAGATCCGCAAATACAAGAAGAGATTCGGCTCGGACATCTTGTGTGCTGCATTATGGGGTAGGTTCTTCAATACACGCATAGGGGATGGAATCAATAGATGTTGCTGGTATAGACAGTTGTTTTTGGTTTTTAGTATGAACCGTTTTTGATATGTATCATAAGTATGTATATACAGTACCAACTAGACTTGATACTATTACATTCCAATTCTTTCATTACAACAGTGTTGCTTCACATCTAGGGATAAGGCTGTAGAGTTGAACAGTGTGTTTATATGGGTGCTCTTTAAATTTCAGGAGTCAATCTGTTGATTGGAACAGAAAATGGTTTGATGCTGCTGGACAGAAGTGGACAAGGAAAAGGTAATGATTCTTAAATCTACAGGGGCAGTGGGGTAGCCTAGTGGTTAAAGCATTCACTCATTGTGCCAAAGTGTTCAATTCCTTACTTTGGTACAATATGTGAAGCCCATTTCTGGTGTCCCCCAGGGTTATATTGCTGGAATATTGCTAAAAGTGGCATAAAACCTATCTCACTTGCTCACTCAGAATCTACAGTAGCTATGAACCGTGGCCTGCAGTGCTGAGAGAGTTTTGCATCAGTTATTTATTGTGTTCCATGTTTGCAGTGTACACTTTGATATCCCGGCGCCGCTTCCAGCAAATGGAGGTCCTGGAAGGACAGAACATTCTGGTGACCATATCTGGGAAGAAAAACAAGATCCGTGTCTACTATTTATCCTGGCTCAAGAGCAAGATCTTCAAAACAGAGGGGGTACTTACTTATCTTTACTCTTTAATTTGAATTGGTAAAATTGTTTTACTATCATTCCATACCACAAGCTTGTGACAACTCTTAGAGTCTTTCAACAAATACCAAACAATTTGAACCTCATATTTCAAGGCAGCAAATTATCACACTACTGTAATGTATGTTGATTGGATATTGGAAGAATTTTGGTAATATAGTTTCTAATCAGTGTTTATCTTTTCAGATTATTGATATCTTTAATGAAACATATGAACATTTCACCACACATAACCTGACACAAGACGTCATGTGTTTTGTCTTCTGTTTTCAGAGCGACAAGAAGAATGGCTGGGTGAATGTTGGTGAATTAGAAGGATGTGTGCATTTCAAAATTGGTAAGTAATTATTCTCATCACATTGATAATGTTACATAGTTGTTGGGACCCATGAAGATCCGGTCAAGAGCAACCCATGCTTGTCACAAGAGGCGACTAACGGGATCGGGTGGTCAGGCTCACTAACTTGTTGACACATGTCACCGTATCACAGTTGCATAGATCAATGTTCATGATGTAAATCACTGGATTGTCTGGCTCAGATTTGATTATTTACAGATCGCTCTCATATGGATGTAATATATACTGAGTACAGCATTAAACAACAAACAATACATGGTTGCTGCCATGTTAAGTTAAGTTTAGCTTGAAACCATCACCATGACTGTCTGCCAAGGCGACACAGTGATTTAGTTGGTCATTTGAACAACTTCTACATTCAGGTTTCAGGTTAGGTAATCTATAACCTATGTCAATGGATTAACTGACTGCATGTGAATTATAACTAAATATTTATTTGTTTTGTTTCTTTTGCAGTAAAATATGAAAGAATAAAGTTTCTTGTGATAGCATTGCAAGATAGTATAGAGATCTATGCATGGGCTCCCAAACCCTACCACAAGTTCATGGCCTTCAAGGTGAGTCACAGCAGGGAATGTACCGGGGTGGATTTGCTTATGGTGTATTTGGGAATACTCAGTACAGTACAGAATTTCTCAGTACAGATTCTAGTATTTTGGGGGGTGGTGGGGTAGCCTAGTGGGTAAAGCGTTTGCTCGTCACGCCGAAGGCCCGGGTTCGAATCCCCACATGAGTATAATGTGTGAAGCCCATTTCTGGTGTCCCCCCCGCTGTGATATTGATGGAATAATGCTAGAAATGGTGTAAAACAATACTCAGTCAGTCAGTTGTACCTTTTTGGTTGAATCTCATCTGGGATCACCAGCACAAAAAGTCAGCGATCGAACCCACTCACCCACTGGGATCAAACCCACTCAGCTACTGTGACGTGCACAATGATTGAAATGTAACAACTGGTAGTCAAGACCACATACTTTGTGTATCCTTCAGCCTAAATTGGCTCAACTCCCACGACTAAAGCTACGAATACACAATGGTCAAATGTAGCATGTTATATGTGGGATAACACGTTCTCAGTAAAGTGCCTGACTTTGAGTGTGAGGGTTTGAATCCAGATGGGACCCAACCGCCCAAAAGGTGCTAAAATCTGAACGTTATCCCCATGTAAACAGGTATATTGATAGATTGTAACTGAATGTGAAGGTCGACTGTGGAGACACCAAGTCTGTAGTGAAAGTGTCCCTTCATTTGATCCATGTGAAACGTCTAAGGAGACAGTCCTCATGTAGTCACAAGTGTCCCAGTTGGGCAGCATGTATTTCATATGTATCACAGTGCTTGAGTCGCCCACTTGAAACATTAGTGTAGGAAGTATTACATGTTTTAATAATTGGTCAATTGTATTTGAAGGTAATGAGGTGGCTGGAGTGTAAACTAGGACTCTCAAATTCATTTGATTTGACAAGTGTCAGATATGTTACTTGTTGCAGTTTAAATCAACACATTTCTCTGGGTTTATGAGAGTCACATCCTACCACATATCTCATGCTTACAGGAAATGTCAGTTGAAATGGTATAATCTGAAAATAGTACATCTCTTTCTTTAGTTTCTTTGAGTGGCATTTAGAAGCTGGTATGATGAATAGGAATGATATTTTATGGATAGACAACTTCTTTATTGAAATGGATGTGACGTTTTGGTGTCGATGCTAGCATCGTTATAAAGCAAACTTTCCTGTTCTTGCCTTAGTTGTTAATTCATAATTGATTAATTAATAATTGTTGACTGCTTAGCTTAGCAGTGTCCTGTAATGCTATACTTCATATGAACATATGTACTTTCAGGGCTCGATTTAGTGCTTTGTTACTTGCACTGGTGCAACCCAATGTAACAAAGTGCAACCCAGTAATTTGTCTAACTTGCACCAGGTGCAAGTCAATTGTTTAGAATTTTATCAACAATAAATATAACATTTAAGCATAATTATGTCAGCTCATATTTCTTCTAAACTTTGAATAATTCAGTAATATATTTCTTTCATTACACATTGCAATAAGAGCAGTGCAGCTGGAATTTGGCTGGTGCAACTAGGGTTTTTCTCAGGTTGCACCTGGTGCAAGAAGGTTAATATCTCTTAAATGAGCCCTGACTTTGCGTTTCAGTTACTTAACGTAGGACACTTTATGGAATTAACTGTCAGCTAGGTTGTAGGTCATTATTCCAAACTATATAAGTGGTTGTATATTTTCAGTCTTTTCCGAGCTGGCTTACAAACCTCTGCTGGTAGATCTGACTGTTGAAGAAGGCTTGAGGTTAAAGGTCATCTACGGCTCCAATCAGGGCTTCCATGCCATTGACCTGGACACCTCCCAGAACTTTGATCTGTACATTCCTTCACATGTAAGTACAAGCGTCTTGTGGCCGCGTCTCATGGTATTTGTTTTAATGACACCCCATTTTTCAGATTGTACTTTCTTTTATCTTGTTTACCACATCGGTACTTTATTTCTGTCTGGTAAATGTTGAGCATTTGGTCATCAAGTGCTTGATGAATCGCACCACATTGAGATACCCTTATTGTGCTCATGCTTTGCTTTGTGACCAGTTTTACAGTTCAACTTTGTGTGGTCTGAAATATTGGTTACATTATTAGGGCCCTTCTTCAGTATGGCAACAAGAAGCACCAGCTAATGCATCAGTAAGGCACGAGGCATATTTCTGGGGTGGATCCTGGACTTGATCAACTGAGGGGCTAGAAACATTACTGTTGTATATAGTTATGTAGAGGGGGATGTGTGAGTAACTCTCCATTCCTTATAAATAATGGAGGTGCGGCACCACAAGGGGCCCATCATTGTGAAGGAACGGGAGAGTTACAATGATATTCCCATGCTTAAATTTTATTCTAGGTGACTTTGTAAAACGTGTTTGATACATTTAATAGTTTTTAATACAGAAATTTCAAAATTATTTCGAAAACCTATATATTTATAGACATATATTTGAAATATATAATCGGTCAGATGCATCTCCACATAAAGAGACTCCCGCTGCTGTCGGTGAACATGACATGAAACAGGTGCACTGGAACAAGCACTCTCCAGGGGCGGTATTCATAAAAGAACTTAAGTCTGAATTATGACTTAAGTTTTTGAAAAAACTAAGTTTTTTCACTTTTTCTGACTTAAGTTTTCAGATTTTACTCAAGTCATATTCATAAAGCAACTTAGGCTTAAGTTTTGGCGATTTCCGACTTAAATCTTAAGACTGGGCAGGGGTAGGCTTAACTGGAAGGTGTTTGACTTAAGTCAGTAAACAATATGGCTGCCGTAGCGCTGAGGCGTCGTTCATTTCACCAAAGAAGACAAAGTCTCGTTGAATACAGCGATGAAGAATTAATTCGGCGATACAGTCCAGATGGGAATGGCATTAGATTAAATCGCCAGCATTTGGGAGAAAGGATATTTTTATAAAATAGGATTTCCTAATTTTTTTATAAAAGTAGGATTTCCTATTTTTTAATTTCCCATATATTCTTGAAATCAATTGTTCTAAAGTTGATTACACTTATGATGATAATACCTTTAATAGATATCACTCAAAGCTTTCATATTTAGTCATATATTTATAAACTAGGATTTCCTAAAAAATTATAAAGTAGGATTTCCTATTTTATAAAATTTTCCATTGTTAGTAAACAAAACACAGGAAATTTTACAAATATTCCTGACACTACATGCTGTAGCCTCACCAAACTATTTATTTGTGTGAGGTCATGTTAAACTTAAAAACTTTTTCGTTCATACATGTTCCTTTCCTTCGTCGTGTGACCTTGGCTAATCATCACCTACACTCACTACATTTTTCCAGTGTTTGATGCATTTTGGGCTGTTTCATAGGCGTACCAATGTAATTCAGAAAAGAGAACAGAAAATCGTACTTATTCAAAACAAATGAAAACTATGTGTGGCACGTAGTCTAAGACATTTCTGTATTCTTGACTACACCTTGACAGTCGGACCCAATGTTTACATTACCTGCCACGCCTCTTGCCGCTTCGCCGACGTCACGCCCGGACCAAACTTCCTTCCAACGCTCTGGCGTTTGTTTTCACGAGTTCCGTCAAAAGCAGGACCTCGGGCAGTATTCTATAAAAGTTTTTAGTCCAATTAGGTTTTCTCTTCTTTATCTCAGACTCCGACATATTTTTCACAATGTATTACCGCAGTATCTCAATGTGTCGTCTGCCGTAAATAGCAAAAGGGAGATCCCAACGAAAGCCATTTTCACACCTTTTAATAAAAGAGTTCCCCCGGAAGTCTAAAAATACCTCGGATTCACCCTAGTGATCACGCGGGTATGCACTACGAAAAAAACTTAGTTTGTCTTTGGAAACTTAGCTAAGTTTCTGACTTAGTAGCTTTATGAATAGCATCTTAAGTCTCAGACTTAGCTAAGTCAGTTTTAAAAAACTTAAGTTTGGACTTAGGAAAAATCTTAGTTTCTCTATGAATACCGCCCCAGTACTGTAGCAACTAATACTTATGAACAAAGGAGTGCTAAAACAATAGAATGACATCCCAAGCGTAATTGGATTAACTGAGTGAGTGAGAAAAATGTGAGAGAGGACTGTGCATCAATACATAAAAATATGTTTACAATATTTCTGAAAAGGAGGAATAGATCTGCAGGGACAAACCCACCAACAGCTAGAGAGGGTTCAAATAGACATGAACAGCTAGAGAGGGTTCAATCCATCGCTAGGTGTTCTGTCATTGAAGTATCAGTGGTTGTGTGTCAGCTAACATTAGGGAGTTCTGTATTGCCCCTTTATAGTAATCCTAACTCCCCTACCCCAAATCTTTGTTGTCTCTCTCTTCTATCTAACACTGTTTCCTTGTCTTCTGTCCAGCTCCGCGTTAACAACGACGGCAACGACGTAACGCCTCATGGCGGTAGCGTCACATTTTACATTAATCAGGTAACACAGCCCACCCCAGAGCTTCATAATTCTCACTTCTTTGCTGTTCTGTTCCAGCTCAAAGTCAAAATGGGATTCGTGTTCAAAATTTGTTCATGCATTTTTAAAAGTAACTTTGTGTTACGTGTTCCGATTCATGTCACATGGAAGTCCCCTTTTGACGGTACCTGTTTCATTCATCTGTTCATTTACTTCCATATGTTGAACTTGCATGAAGAATTATCCTTATTCTGTTCTTTTGTTCTTTTCCTTCTGACCTGATGCTTTTTTATTGGACTCAGTTAGGATCACCTTTATTTTTGTTGCATATCCTTGAGGCTTTGGATGTGACTCCATCCAATGTTTTGTGAATGGTCTGGTGGTTCTGGCAGAGTTACCTCCCTTTTACCCTTTATTACATTGACTTTATTTGCATTCAGTACATGAAAAGAGAAAGGAGCAGTGTAAGATAAACATATCTGGTGTACAGGATTCTCATTTTTTGGTCATTCAGACAAATATTTTCAAGAGTTCAGCGAGTTCATCTTTAAATTTGGGAGTAAATGTTTTCTGACTTTCAGAGCATGGCTGTTAGCATGAGAGAATCTACACTTTATCTCCCCTTCATCTGTCCAAGTTCTTGACCAGTTTGTGACTAGAAGTTTATTAATCATGGAAAACATATGCTTAAAACAACAATCAAAACAAATGGTCAATCTCTTTTGTTTTGCTTAAATCTGATCAAACTAATCCTAATCATTAATTGTGTTTTATATGTTGAAACTGACATTGAGGTGTGGGTTGTGTAAGGGAGACAACTCCTATTTCTACAGGTACTGACCTTTGCAATGTTCATTTCAGACTCAAGGTCCAATCACGCCTCACACAATTGTCATTCTTCCCAACACCAATGGTTTACAGCTGCTTCTGTGCTATGACAGTGAGTACAATTGTTCAACATAGCACCTTCAATACACAATTTCAATTTGTGCCTTATTTAAATAGAGCAACAAGTAACCAACAGTCTTGCTGTTAAAGATCAATATAAACATGGCAAGCAGCCATGAAACTGGCAGCAGTGCCACTCTGCTGATATTAACTTTCTGATGAAACTGTTGATGTATATATCTGAGCAGAGAGCTGTTTTTTAGTATTTGATTTTTTTATGATTAGTACAGTCATTTGGCTGATATATTCAGGCATCAGGGTTTTATGTATGCTCATGTTAAGTGTTGTGGTAAGTTCTGTGTCCTGCTCGACAACAAAGCATTTGGTCTCACCTTACCTGAGTTTGCTCTGTTCACCCAGCAGAAAATGGGTACCCGGTAGGATAAGTCATATATTATAGATGTGTACATTCATTGATGTGGCCGATATCTTCAGGCAGCAGAGTTTTATGTCTGCTAATGTTAAGTGTTCTGTTATAGATGAGGGAGTCTACGTGGACACAAACGGGAAGATTACCAAGAACGTGGTGCTACAGTGGGGGAGAGCTACCTACCTCTGTCGGTCAGTATTCACACCATAGTTAATGACCCCACTACAATGGTGGATCAATGAGAACTGTCCTTTAACCTGTGTAATTATAACGTAAACACTGCCTCTGGCTTATGGTACCCTTTATGCCTGTGGTTACACAGATACATACAGAAATACAAATGAAATTTTAAACACTAAGTCATAGCTATTCCTAGTGGTATGCATAATTGATTACTGAATTATCTCCCCTGATGTCATGGCCTTGTCGTTGCAAACCTTTTGTAACCCCTGTATGTATGGCTGGTTACAAGTGATGAATGATGTTTTATGTTACAGCATATATCAGCACAGGTCAGATTATGGGCTGGGGGAACAAAGCCATAGAGATCCGGTCAGCTGAGACTGGACATTTGGATGGAGTTTTTATGCATAAGAAAGCTCAGAAACTGAAATTCCTCTGTGAAAGAAATGATAAGGTATGCTGGTGATAAGGAGAGAGTGTGGGGGTGATTCCAAGATGGGACTCAACCCCCCAAAAGTACTAGATTATAAACTTAACTGAGAAAGTGTAATCCCAAATATAACATGTTTTGTATGTGTAGATGCTTAGATTATTACTTCAGTGAAAAATATTACTTTAATTGCTGGATCTTAAGAAGCTGTCTATATGAAGATCATGGTCGAAGGTTTTGTTTATGACTAGAAGTACATGGTGGTACATTAAGATTTTGAACTTGGATGAAATGACAGTCGCTGGGAACTTGCAAACAGCTCAATTAAGTTGTATTATGTTTGAAATGTTCTGTTGCTTCTTTTTTCAGGTGTTTTTCTCTTCCGTTCGGTCAGGATCGTCTTGTCAGATCTACTTCATGACCTTGAGCAAGCCTGGCCTTGCCAACTGGTGATTTCCACAAACCCTATAGCAACAGGTGCTGTCCGTAGCAAAGATAGAAGTGCCGCCCAAAGACAGCTGCTGCACAAGAATACTCAGCCAAGTCACACAGTGGCATCTGTTGCAGCTCAAGTCCTTTCAGATGTTGATAACTCTTGGATATTGTCCTACTCTCTCTGGGGACGTAATGGCAATAGATGCCATTAATTAATACATACATGTCATTAATTAGTACATAAATGTCATTAGTTAATACATAAATGTCATTAATTAATACATATATGTCATTAATTAATACATAAATGTCATTAATTAGTACTTAAATGTCATTAGTTAATACATAAATGTCATTAATTAATACATAAATGTCATTAATTAATACATAAATGTCATTAATTAGTACATAAATGTCATTAGTTAATACATAAATGTCATTAATTAATACATAAATGTATGGAGGTAAACTTAAATGAACTATTCACCCTGAACGTTATAAGTTGTGACAGTGAATAGGTTGAATCTAGAGCCTGGTTAAGAATTTTAGGTTAATGGTCCATTAGCCATGAAAATAGATTTTGAGGAAAGTGTTGAACTGAAATAAGCTCTTTGTAAGACTTCCACTTCCAAACCTGTTTCTGTCAGAACTACTGTTAGCATTAATTGATTAGGACATGAAAGTCTATTTAAATTCAGTGAGCCATTAGCTGAACTTTGTAACTCTTGCTTTCTTTCAATTATTCTTGAAGGTTTTACTGGACTTGATCAATCTTGACGCAATACTGTTAAAGAAGCAATTCTCTTCTTTGTCTTGTGTATTCAGCAATAGGCAGTGTACAGATAGCTCCCTCTTTTTAATCCCTTATCGTGTTGACCTACTCGTTCATCAGCTGACAAAGGCGGCATAAAACCCAACGCACTCACTCTCTCACTCATCAGTTGACGGTGTCACCATCTGGAAGTAGAGGTACTGGCATCCATTCCAGTTGTGCTATGGACTTGTTCCACTATGAATAGTGTATAACATTATCTGTGTAAAACCTTGCAATCTTATACAAAGTGTACCATCTTGCTTTTATGGTTGAACAATACTGGTGCTTTCAGTCCAACAGTCTATATTTTAGTTCATACTTTTAGTTTCTAGTCATAATGAGCTGAAGAGTAACACTCATCTTACTGTAGTTAGTTCAGTCCTTGGTGGGCTTTGTACACTTGACATTATCCATTAGTCTATTTCAGAATAGTTTATTGTAAAATAATCCAATCATAAATATCACACCTATCACATTTTTGTACAAATGTATTATTAACAAGATAAGTTATTCTTACATTCTATATTGGATGAATCTGTTCTGTAATAAATTAGAAAATAAAATTGAAAACTGAATACCGGTATTGAAAATTGAAAATAAATTGAAGCTTGTGTAGGGATTCTGAAGATGGACTTTCAGTAATGGGCATACACTCTGAGAAAGATCCATCGTATACAACAATGTTTATTTTTGTAAATAGTCGTCTTTTTGTTTGTAATAGATCTCAATCTCCAAATTAAGGAGTGCTCTTTCCCCCCTAGTATTTGAACTGTTCTTTTGTCTTAATTTCTTGGGTTTTCTTATGGAAAATTGTGTAAAAAATGTGCCATATATTTGCTTCTGAGAATGCTGTAGTATACCTTCGCATTCTACTAATCTCCTTATATTGATAATGAAGGGAAGGAGTTTAAGGGTAATATCTTCCTACATGATGGTTGAGAAAAGGTTGGTCTTTCCGTATTTCATGTGTATGGACAATATTATGTTGATATATCCTCAATGAAAAAATTGTTTAAACCATAATTTTTATTTATCTTACTAGTTCAAAATTAGCTGTTCAATGAAGAGAATGCCAACATCATGTCGCATGGCGAATATGTACCCGCTGTCATGTATGTGGGTCATCTTGTAAGCTGCTTCCCTGAATGCATGGGTGAATTGTCAGTTAATACTTCCACTTGCTTTCTGCTGCTAAGTGTCAAAGATCACAACATCTAGCTCACCATTTTATACTCTATGTATATACTCATAATACTTAGACATGTATATGCTTGTCTTTAAAGAAGCACAGACAATATCCATACAAGCTGATTCAATATTTCAAATTGTATTTGTATTGTTAATGAAAACTAATGTAACTTCATGCAGTCCAAACATTAAGAACATTTCAGAGCCAACCAAACTAGTGAAGGTAGACAACATACTTTTATATAAGTGTAAATATTGTAAATATGAACATATTTTGGGTTGATACATTCTATATCAACAAGCCATCTTTTGTATTTATTTTGAGTTGTTTCGAGACTTCGTTTTAGTTTGAAACCATTACACCACACACCAAAGAAATTTCAACTAGAACTAGCATACATGTTATGGAAATTTAAGATCTGAAATGTCTGTGAACAGATTACCCTTTTGAAAACAGGCTAATGTATAAATTGTAGCAGAAATGTAAACATTTAGAAAACCCATCTAAAAGAATGACAAGCTGCCATTGGAAACTGTTGTATATAACCACGTGCTTTGAAATGTACATATGTAATACTGGAAGGCCGGAGGTGGAGAACTTCAGCCCATAACAAAAGCATCTTTCTGTATTTGTTGCGTTCATACATGACTATATCATATTTTGTATTTCTACGTCTTGTATAGATTTTTGTACGTGTGTTTTGTATTTATGATTCTGTAAAAAGCAAGCTGTTAGTAGGTACAAAGGCTCTATTGTGATACTCTATGGCTTTTAACAAAGGTATGTGCAATCTTTTATTTTCTTTTAAACAGCTGAAAATATCAAGCCCTCTCACCTGTCATGGGAAATCATCATTTGTCCTGGTTGTCAAATGTTCTATTTTCATGCCTAGTGATGTTTGTTATTGTCTACATGTAATTGAAAAAGGACAGCTTAGTTCATTGTCTTCCATGTAGTGTCGAAGTAATGTAGCTTTGAAGTTGGAGATTATTGTAACTATAAGTGGTAAGATGAATTGTATTAAAATTAGTGAAAGACAGTTATTTGTCCTGAAATCATGAGGAGGGCTTTTGATGATGTGAATGAAATAGGCATCCACTACACCGATACCTACGTATAAAATATACCAGTAACGGGCATGTATAGACATTATGAGATATGGCCTAAGTTTGCTATAATCTTAACCTTGCTGGCCTAGATAAAAACAGCATTATTGTCAATTTCAGCAGGTACATATGCTGCAGCTGATTACCTGATTATGCAATGAGCACCAAACGATGTGTATTTCTCCAGTAGTTGTCTCTCCAACTCAAACTGTGCCTTTATCATTTCATTTCTATATTTTACCCACACCTTCCACTTGATAGCAGGTGATGTTCATTTCATACTCAATGTCATTGACATGGATTGGATGTTCTGTCGCAGGAACCACAGAGTCTCTGCCGGCCCACTCTTTGGTTGTAGTTGAGTATTTAAAGAAACAAGGATCTAAGTATGTTTTATTGAGTTAGGGTAGGAGGGAGGTGTTCTGTTACAGCTGAAGTTGGGCTTACTGCATGATATTTATTTTGGGCTAGCTTTGTATGATTTTATAGAGATTCACACAGCTTGTCACCCGTGTGTAGATCAAAATAAAGCAAAACCAAATGTACAGACATTGTGTTCAGTTTTTATTCAACAAGTCTAGAGCAAAGCTGGATAATGCATATCTGGAAAAAGAAATCCTGTATTTTCATATATCCTGAACGTAGGAAACATTGAGCATGACATTGATATACAATTCTTGTCATAAGTTGTCTGTGCTACCTGAGGGCGGTGGGTAGCCTTGTGGTTACAGCGTCACACAGAAGACCCGGTTTGATTCCCCACATGGGTACAATGTGTGAAGTCCATTTCTGGTGTCCCCTGCCATGATATTACTGGAATATTGCTAAAAGCGGCATAAAACCTTACTTACTTACTCACTCACTCACTCACTCACTCACTCACTCACTCACTCACTCACTCACTCACTCACTCACTCACTCACTCACTCACTCACTCACTCACTCACTCACTCACTCACTCACTCACTCACTCACTCAGCTCACTCACTCACTCACTCACTCACTCACTCACTCACTGGTTGATAGCATTGACCTTCAGGAATGTTATTGCCATTGAACAGTTACATACCATGAAAAATGTTGAGTATTTCACATAGTTAGTCGTCACCCATAATGAAAACGGGATACACTTTATTAGATGACTATTTAATTTAGAGATAGGTGTCTTTAGGAAGCATTTCTAAGCTTTCGTAATGGTGTGCACTTAGACATTCAGAGTGGAGTGTAGTCTGTCCTTGTGGTTAAGCATACTAATGGATTGCAAATATCTGTTTAAGCTGATGATATACAACAAAATATAATGTTAATGTTTTATCTGTTAAGTAAAAGATTGTATATTTATTTTAAAGTAGTGGATGTTTGACTCATTACACAGGGACCGCCTTCGTGGTGTAGTGGTTAGAGCGTCTGCCCGGAGAGCGGAAGGTCTCAGGTTCGATCCCTGACCGCGTCATAACAAAAGACGTTAAAATATGGTACTTGTTGGTCCCTGCCTGGCGCTCGCATTAATGGGAACAACAAGGACTGGTCAGCTCGGAGTCAGTATATTGTGTCTGAGTGGGGTATTCATGCTTCACTGCGGAATGGTATCTCAGTGAGCTAGCACTGTAAAACCAGCTTCAGTCTGGGCTAGTACAAGCAGCCGCGCGTACACACGCATGCATGTCGCCATATGAGCGAAATATTCTCAAGCACCTCAAACCCAACAAATATTTGATTAAGCAGTTGTCCCAACTTTGACAGTGAGCTTACAATCCTCCCAAGTTTGACTGTCCTCGGTTCACACATGTTAATTAAGCCATCATTAGCCAGTGATTGTGGGAGCTACTGTATTAACAGAAGACTAACACAAAAAAGACTAAACCTAAAACAGTTTACTCTTGAAATTCAATCACTATTCACCAATAGTGAATCAAGTCTTGGGGTGGTGGGGTAGCCTAGTGGTTAAAGTGTTCGTTCGTCAGGCCAAAACCCGGGTTCGATTCCCCACATGGGTACAATGTGTGAAGCCCATTTCTGGTGTCCCCGGCCGTGATATTGCTGGAATATTGCTAAAAAGCGGCGTAAACCCATACTCACTCACTCAATCAAGTCACCAATCACTAAACAACACTGCCACAGGCCTTAACCTCATACCTTAACGGATCAGTGACCAAAATGCTGTCAAATAAGGGATACTACCGTGTAAAATATGCCCTTAGTCCTCAAGACTGCTTCCGTAATTTGCATAGCGATCCATGCAGATACATTAATAACAGAAAATCTCCATAAGAAGGAAATGCGAAAAATTGAGTAAATTCAAACACTCCGATAACTACTACTACTACTAATACTAATACGACTACTACTACGACTGCTACTACTACTACTACCAAAAGACGTTAAAATATGGTACTTGTTGGTCCCTGCCTGGCACTCGGCATTAATGGGTACAACAAGGACTGGTCGGATCGGAGTCAGTATAATGTGTCTGAGTGGGGTATTCATGCTTCACTGCGGCATGGTATCTCAGTGGGCTAGCACTATAAAACCAGCTTCAGTCTGGGCTAGTACAAGCAGCCGCACATACACATACACACGCATGCACGTCGTCATATGAGCGAAATATTCTCAAGCACGACGTTAAACCCAATTTCACCTCACCTCACTACTACTACTACTACATACGATGTTCAGTGTTGTTACACACGCTATCTACTATTTATTGCATTTAGTGTAAAGTGCCCCTAAGATTATATATTTGACCGACAAGCATCTTCAATATTTATGGACTGAGGTCACAAAATAAAGAATGACCTCATAAATAGAACATCTGACATTTTGCAGTTCTCCGACAGTGTCCGACAGGCTGTTTTAATGGATTGTTTCTGGGTTTTAAGCTAATACTTTTATTGCAAACAGACGTGTGTGTGTGTGTGTGTGTGTGTGTGTGTCTGTGTGTCTGTGTGTGTGTGTGTGTGTCAGAGTATTTAGAATCAAAACGAGACATCTAAAAACTCTTGAAACTTAAATATTTAGAAATAAATGAATGCCGGACGATGCGTCATATGGTTAACTTTCGTTCGTTTTGCTAACAGCCTAAACAGTATTTTACCACCGCTTCATTCATAAAAAAATCTTTCTCCACACAAGCATATTTTCAGCGTTGTATTATATTCCAAACAATAATTTGCACGTAATCATTTTCCATCTACAAAGTAAGGTGTAGATGTAGGGCGTTGAATATAAGTACGTATGGTTTCTTTGGCATTCTAGAAGTTGGGTAGAGCAAGTGGTGATAACGACATTAGAATCTACGTCGAAACGTCGCCTATACAGAATAAAGAAGTTGTATATCCGTGTAAATAGTCCTCATTCTTCAAGTACGTACGGTGCGTGGAGTGTCACTTAGTATTATTCGGGTGGGTTATATTGTGTAAGCGTCGACTTGGTTTCCGTGTAACACTGACGTCAAATGCACGATTGATTAAAACGGATGATTGAATTTCACGAAGTGAACAGTGTGTTTGTCCTTTTAACAAGGCTATCAGTAATATTCCATGTCTGTCCTGAACAGAAAATAATCCAGTGATTGATATTGATATCGCGAGCAACAACCCACGCCATGAGGGTAGGACATCAGAACCTGACCCACCGATCCAAAATACGTCGCAGGGGACCTGTATTCCTACCTTCCACGAGTTTATGGGCGTGCCCTGTATCTCCAGCTACAGTCAGGGTGTACGACTGAGCGAGAACGATGTCCATTATAAAGTTGAAACATCAATTGTTGACATCGATACCACAATGTATATTGTAGGTAGCTTTGATTGACGTAACAAAATGCAGACCCGTGAAGATAGGGGTTAGAATTGATCTTCAGTAACCCATGCTTATCGTAAGAGGCGACTAACTGGATCGGGTGGTCAGGCTCGCTGACTTGATTTACACATGTCTTCGTATACCAATTGTGAAGATCGATGCTCATGCTGCTGATCACTGAATTGCCGCCATGTAGCTGGGAAACTGCAGAGTGTGGCGTTTAAAAATTGAACAAACAAACACAAAATCATGTAACGAAATGACGTTGGCGTAACCGTATTTTGTCATGTGTCCAGATTCGGTGGGGTAGCCTAGTGGTTAAAGCGTTTGCTGTACATGTTCAAGACTCCAGTTCGAATCCACACATGGATACATTGTGTGAAGCCCATTTCTGATGTCCCCAGCTGTTATTTTGGTGGATTATGGCTGAAAGGGGTTTAAAACCATACTCGCTCCTAAGTGTATATATATACTAACGTAAACCGCCCCCGTGGTGTAGTGGTTAGAGCGTCCGCCCGGAGAGCGGAAGGTCGCGGGTTCGATCCCCGACCGCGTCATACTAAAAGACGTTACACTATGGTACTTGTTGGTCCCTGCCTTGCGTTCAGCAATAATGGGTATACGTACAACAAGGACCGGTCGGCTAGCTCACTACTACTACTACTACTACTACTACTACTACTACTACTACTACTACTACTACTAGTCATACCAAAAGACGTTAAAATATGGTACTTGTTGGTCCCTGCCTGGCACTCGGCACTAATGGGTACAACAAGGACTGGTCGGCTCGGAGTCAGTATAATGTGTCTGAGTGGGGTATTCATGCTTCACTGCGGCATGGAATCTCATTGAGCTAGCACTATAAAACCTAGTACAAGCAGCGACACATACACACGTATTATTAAGTACGACGTTACACCCCATCTCACCTCACACCTCACCTCACCTCACCCCACCTCACCCCACCTCACCTTACTTATACGTAACATACTTCAATATCTGTCTCCTTGAAACTATTGAAGCAACAATAAAATCATGCACTACATTCAAAAGATTTACATTTTTGTTAAGTAATTTGCATTTCCTTTTTGGAACAGAATCTAAATGATATACTTTGACATAGAAATGCTTGTATTTTCTACTTTGATCATAACTGGAGCAAATGGAGGAAAATAATGGATGTTTGTAAGGATGCCCACAAGCACGTTGTGGGTTGATGTAGATATGGCGGGGGTTCGTACATGTGTGCATTTGAAGCCCTACATCTGAGGCGAGAGTGGATAACCTGACAGAAGCTAGAGCCTAAAGTTAAGACAGAATTCAATCCTGCTGTATTAGGTTGTAGCAGTTTCCTAAATGCCCAAACACTTTCAGCATTAGCTATATTTTCTGGTAATTCATTCCACTACCTAATGGTATCGGGTAAGAGTGACTTTGTATAGCGTTCGTGATTGCATGTTATTGTTACCACTTCTCTCATGGTAGATTAGTGGATACATTATTGAGACTGAAGAAAGTAGACACATGTTTGAATACACTTTTTTTCTAAAACTTTAGAAAGACAGCTTGTACGAACTACTGGTCTATAGTTTTGGCATTTATCAATGTCACAGCTTTTATGTATTGGTATCACCGATATCACTATACGTGGAGGTTATTTTATCTGTATTATCAACAACTGCTTGACAAACAGAAAGGTAATTTAATACATGTGATATACCTATAGCATCGCCATACAGCT